AAAAAAACATACAGCGCATTTAAACGATTTAGTTTAGAAGCGAATGAGCAATAGAATCTTCTAGCATGTAAATAAGTAGTGCCTTCGGGTGCTTCCACCTTTTGCTGAATAAAATACTAAGAGTTTGTAAATTAATGCATATCTACTTTTTGATTGCCACATAGCTGCCTAGTTGCAGCATGGGAACTCCTATTGCTGCTCAAATAATTATGTGTGTCCGCCAACCTATGCACTCCAGCGTAGTATAGCCTGTTCCTCCTATTCATTCATCTCATCCATTCTTATCGCTGCTGTTCACCTCTTTGTTCACAGTTAAATACTACATTCCTTGCATCGAAATACTGCGGACTCACCTTTTAGTGCCCTGTTATTTTCCCAGTTTTCCTTCATCATTTTGACATTTTTCCCATAGTTCTTATTTAGGTGCCATACCATAATTGGTCTCATGCATTTTCCGTAGCCCACTTCTGTTGGATTGCTTTGCGAACTCCAGCTGTTTTACATGGTTTGGATGAGCTGGAACGATTAGCGCTCTTGATCGCATGTCTTTGTCATGACATCGACCATCGTGGCACGACAAATGCCTTTCAATTGCAATCGGTGAGCGGTGGAGTAGTGGTGTTGCCATGGATAATCTCTACAACTTCAATCAATGATTGATTCTTTTCATTGCGATTATTCTTGCTTGAAAGATGAGGCTAGAGTAGGAAAAAGATATCCAGAACAATACCTAAATCCGAACTTTGATTTGTTGAGTCTACTCATCTTGCAACTTTTCAGAAAACTCCTCTTGCTCAATTGTATAGCAGTGAAGGCAGCGTGTTAGAAAGGCATCACTATGCGCAAACAGTGCAAATTCTGCAGGTCTGTCTGCTATGATTATTTATCTTCAATTTTTTTTTACTTTTCCTTTTACATTCCAGATCGATGTACTAACTTTTTTGCCTTCTAATTTTTTTCCAATAATTTCAACGCTTTGATATGAGCCTCTAATATTTTCCTTTCTCAGATGAAAGAATGCAACATTCTCGATCAATTGACGCGTACACAGTATCAGACTGTATTGAGTCATATTCGCGATGTGATCTTAGCTACTGACATTGCAGTTCACTTAGGAAAAGTTGGAAGGATAAAAGCTATGGTTGATGGTTGGTTCCATATGTTTTTGTCTCGTTTCCATCTGTCTTCTTTAAAAATCCTTCTTAAGATCGTTTTTGCTTCAGAAGGCTACGATCCTATGTCTCGTGATCATCATTATTTATTTATGTGTTTACTAATGACGTCTAGCGATCTTTCCGATCAGTCAAAGGATTTCCGCAACTCAAAAGCGATAGCGGTG